CCCCGTCCCCCAACCCCCAGCCCCAGGTGCCCAGTCTTCACCAGGGTGTCAGTGCCCGCAAACTGGTCCATGACAGCTTGGACAAAGCCCTTCATCTGGTTAAAGTCATTTTGGTTAATGCTTCCAGAGCCATCGATCAGGAAGACGATGTCCATCTCTTGATGTGGACACTCTGTGGGGGAATGGGGAGGAATTGGAGACGCACTGTGGGGGCCCAGCCCTGTCCTGCAGCTCCTGCTCAACAGAACCTGGGAGCTGTTCTTGGCATCCCCACCTGGTTTCCGACCCCTCCTTGGAGGAGGCCCCAATCTGCCACCCCAGCCCCCTGCTCCCTCCCTCCCACATGGCCTGGAAAGAGGGAGATGAGAACCCAGGGCCCAGGTGGGCTCCTCATTCATTTAATCAACAAATATTCATCAAATACAGATGCTAGGGGTGCCACAAGCATCACGGGTGAATGTCTAGCAAAGTGGTTCAGGGTGCGTGTTCTGGAGCCAGTGTGCCTGGGCTAAACCCCAGCTCAGCCATGTGCTAATTGGTGAATTCAGGCACATTACTTAACTTCTCTGGACTTCAGTGTCCCTTTCTGTAAAATGAAGGTAATAGCAGTGGCTGCCATGTGGGATTACTGCAAGGATAAAGCAACACACACATGGATGCTGGAGACAAGTCCTGGCCCTCCGCCAGGGTCAACCACTGGCACAATTCTCACCATGTGCCAGGCACCTTCGAGGCCTGTAGGATATGCCTGTAGGCTGCTGTGGGGGTGGGGCAGGGATCCACCCCAGACCCAGCCCTAATCCCCGGTCAGATCAGAGGTCCTCATTTCCAGCTATGTGGAGTTGGCTCTGAGCTGAGTCCCTTCCCAGGAATCATGCTAGGCAGAGGGGAGCTCTTGCCCATGGGGACACCTCCTGCACCTGGAGGTAGCCTTTACCAATGACTGGTTCAGTGTCTGAAGGGCCAGCTGCACTCTGAGCCCCCCAGGCATTGGCTGAGGCCTCTGGTTTTTTCATTTTTTGTTTTTTTGAGGCAGAGTCTCACTGTCACCCAGGCTGGAGTATAGTGGTGTGATCACAGGTCAGTGCAGCCTCAACCTCCCCAGGCTCAGGCAATTCTCCCACCTCAGCCTCCTGAGTAGCTGGTACTACAGGCGTGCACCGCCTTGCCTGGCTAATTTTTGTATATTTTTGTAGAGACGGAGTTTCATCATGTTGCCCAGGCTGATCTCAAACTCCTGGGCTCTAATGATCCACCCACCTCGGCCTCCCAAAGCGCTGGGATGACAGACAAGCACCCCTGTGCTGGCCTTGGGCCTCTGTTATGATTGCATTGCGTCCACCCTTCACGCTCCCATGGAAGCAGCACCCAAGAACATTCCCAGTTGGGCGTGGTGGCTCACACCTGTAATCCTAGCACTTTGGGACGCTGAGGTGGGTGGATTACTTGAGGCCAGGAGTTCGAAACCAGCCTGGCCAACATGGTGAAACCCCATCTCTACTAAAAATACAAAAAAATTAGCCAGGCATGGTGGCGGGTGCCTGTAATCCTAGCTATTTGGGAGGCTGAGGCAGGAGAATCACTTGAACCCGGGAGGCAGAGGCTGCAGTGAGCCGAGATTGTGCCATTGCACTCCAGCCTAGGGGACAGAGTAAGACTCTGTTGCAAAAAAAAAAAAAGGAACATTCCCAAGTGACCTCAGAGTCTGTAGAGTTCGCTCTGCAATCATGAGGACACATCATATGCACATAAACAAACAAGAATTTTCATGCTGTCCCCAGGCTCATGGGGGGTGTGGCCTGTGTTCAGGGCCCAGTTGGTATCTCCACCAGCAGCCACATCCTGTGCTGCCCACAGGGCGTTGGGAGATCAGGCCATCAGAGCACTAAGGTGTGAGGCCCACACCGCAGGGCTGTGGTTTCTGCCCCGCGCCCACCACTGCAGAAAAAAATGCCTTTTCCTCTTTCCTCTCCCCCACCCCACCTGCTCAACCACTTGGTGCTTCAAGGGTGCTGGGGAGAAACAGAAGGTCACCTCCCTTCCTGCTTCTTCAATCACCAGCAAATCTTGATATCCATGGGGCAGGTTGCAGATTCCCCAGGAGTTCCCCCTTTTTGCCCACATCTGGGCAGCCAATGTCTTACACTGGTGCTTGTTTTTTCAGCTGCATCAAGAAACCACCCTCTCATCCTCTCTCAAGCCAGGTCTGTGGCAAATCCTCTCACAATGTCTCTTCTGTTTTCTTGGTCTTTTTATTGTATCCCCTGGGCTTCCACTAGCAGAAGCCTGGACATGTCCTTTTGAAAAATGACCCCACCAATCAGGCAAGGATGGCTCAAGCTCTCGGCTCTGCCTCTTTCTATTGATGGGAACTTAGCTATCTGAACCTTGGTTTTCTCATCTGTAAAATGGGAATGGGCCTGCCCACCACCCAGGATGTTGTGAAGATGCAATAAGGTGATTCCTACCAGGTACTCAGCACTGCCTGGCACACAGGTGATGTTCAGTGGACCCTGGTCCATTCCACTTGGACCCACACCCTCCTTGCCTGCACACAGGTTTATGCTCCAGTCCCATTTGCATCAGGCACCCCACCTCATGAGTTCCAGAGACAGCTGTGAGAAGACATTTACCCCTTGTTTTTAAGTGCCACCTCCCTAACCTGGCTTCACAGACATCTCAGGCTGGGCATGATCCCCCCCAAAAGCCCTGGATGTCCCTTCCCCCTTCCCTCAGTCCCCTCCATACACTCCACCCTCACCATTTGCTCTGGGAATGTTTCTGCTGCTGCTCCACCTTTGTCTAAAGGCCCAGCATGCCTGTGGTCATGGCCTCTCTGGTCTGAATCAGAACTTTCTCTCTGCCCCCATTAGAACTTTCACTCCTCAAACCGGGCATGAGGACTCATGCCTGTCATCCCAACACTTTGAGAGTCTGTGGCAGAGGATTATTTGAGCCCAGGAGTTCAAGATCAGCCTGGGCAACATAGCAAGACTCCCATCTCTACAAAAACACAATATTTTAAAATTAGCCAGGTGTGATGCATGTACCTGCAGTCCCAACTACTTGGTAGGCTAAGGGAGGAGGATCACTTGAGCCCAGGAGTTCGAGGCTGCAGTGAGCTATGATTGCACTACTGCACTCCAGCCTGGGTGACATAGCAAGACTCTGTCTCAAAAAAATTAACAGGGTGTGGTGGTGCATGCAGCCTGACAGAGACTCTGTTTTTTGTTTTTTTGAGATGGAGTTTTGCTCTTGTCACCCAGGCTGAAGTGCAATGGCACAATCTCAGCTCACTGCAACCTCCGCCTCCTGGGTTCAAGTGATTCTCCTGCCTCAGTCTCCCGAATGGCTGGGATTACAGGTGCACACCACAACACCCAGCTAATTTTTGCATTTTTAGTAGAGAGGGGTTTCACCACATTGGCCAGGTTGGTCTCGAACTGCTGACCTCAGGTGATCCTCCCACCTCAGCCTCATAAAGTGCTGGGATTACAGGCCTAAGCCACCGTGCCCGGCGGGGACCCTGTCTTATAAAGAAAAAAATTGTAAAGAAAAACCCTACAAAGAACTTCTACCCTGGAGCAGCAGGGCTCCTGCCTGAGCCGCCCTCCCCTCCTGGCTTCTGTCCCAGCCACACTTGGCCCTCCAGGGAGGGCACATGAGCCCAAACACAGGCCTCATGCCTGCTCACCCTCAGTGCCAGCATGTGCTCCACAGGGAACCGTGGCCTGCCGGGAACCTACCTGGCAGGGCGTCGGGGACTGTCTGGATGATCTCCCAGTGCGAGCCCAGCAGGAGGCAGGAACCCTTTGAGTATGAGTTCTCCCCACAGACTCTGTGCAGGGTCGGGCCACAGGCCTGGAGGCAGGAACCTGTGAGCCAGGAGCCCCTAGCACCCCCTCCTCCTTCACCCCCAGCCCCAGCCTCCTCCCCTACAACCCCCCTCCCCGCCACCGTGGCCCAAAGCACTCACTCACCAGAAGCCAGGAGCGATTGGTGGAGGCTGCTAGGGTCAGGCCCAAGGACATGTTCACGGCCTCGGGGTGGACTGCGAGGGCAGACACGTGGGGTCTCACTCACAGCACACACTTATTTGGGGGGAGGGTCTGGACTGGAAGCTAAGCAGGGGCACAGTTGGGTCCAGGAGGGTTGAGGGGCCCGATTCCCAGGTGGTCACTCACTGTGCAGCGGGATGGACTGGCACACGCCGGTGGCAGCTGTGCAGTCATACAGCCGTCCCGTCTGGTTGGCCGCCACCACCTCCAGGGGTGCTGCCACCACAAGTCTAGAGACACAACCGTGGCCATGTCACTGTAGCCACAGGAACGGTGGGAGCAGCAGGCACCGGGGGCGAGGAAGTGTCCCTCCATGGGGAAGTGAGACTTCGTGAGGGAAATCTCCTGGCATTTGCCATTTGGCAGAATATTCAGAAATCAGGGCCCGAGTATAACCCACAGATGCCCAGGGGTCACGCTGGGGTTTATTTGGTTTTGAGTGTGCATACGTACGTATGTGTGTATTTATGTTTAGAATTTTTTTTTAACATTCACCAAAGAGAAAACTATTTAAAGACCAAAATGGCATTTCCCAATCATGGGTAAGTACATTGCGTTTCTGAGTTGCCATTATTTTGAATCACCCAAGAAATAAGATCATCTCAAGTTAATTGGAACGATTTCCTGAAGACATGTGCTTTCAAAACCAATAGTTAATTCTGTAATTCACTGGACCAATTTAAATATTATATAAGCAATTTCAATTGGTAAAGCAGTGTACTAGGATCCATAACTATATCTAGAGTTATGTAGAGTCCATGGTTTATTTGCAAAAATCCCTGAGTGGGAAAGTTTTTTAATTTCGGAAATGTTTTCTCACTACCCACAATCTCCTCACCCCGGTGAGAAAAACAGACAAATACTGGTGTATGTTAATGCGCCAAGCAAGGTTTCATTAAATGGCCATGTGAGGGCTCCTTCTAGGTGCCGCTCCTTTACAGAAAGCTACAGTCCCTGTGCGTCATGATTCAGGGGATGCCTAAGGCTTTGTGATGAAAATCTGAGCATTGGCTAGAGAGGCAGCAGTTTGGAACCTGCTGATACAAACGATGAGCAAACCTTTAGTGTAGCCCATCAACCCACATGTTTTTTGAGACGGAGTTTCACTCTGTCGCCCAGGCTGGAGTACAATGGCGTGATCTCGGCTCATTGCAACCTCCACCTTCCAGGTTCAAGCGAATCTCCTGTTTCAGTCACCCAGCTAACTGGGATTACAGGCATCACACCAGGCTAATTTTTGTATTTTTCAGTAGAGACGGGGTTTCACCATATTGGTCAGGCTGGTGTTGAACTCTTGACCTTAGGTGATCCACCCACCTCAGCCTCCCAAAGTGCTAGGATTATAGGCATGAGCCACCACACTCAGCCAATGTATTCTTTTTTTAAAATGTGGCCTAAAAAACTGATGGTGACAGAAGTCTGACCACTGGTTCTCTGGGTTTGTTGGGTAATGAGAAGGGGTCCATGGCAGCCCTGTGCCTGTGGGATTTTACACAGGAGCAGCTGACCTAGGTGGGGCTCACCCAGGCACAAACATGTGTATCTCTCATCAAATTGGGTCTTTCGGATTCGTGCACTTCAGTTGGCCACATTTTGCAATAAATAGAAACAAAACCCTGGTGCCTGGCACTTGCTTCCATCCCCCCAGACTGCCGGTCACATGAGGAAGGGAGAGGGATGTGCGGCTGGAGCTCGGTGACCTCTCACAGCTCCTTGTGACCAACTGAGCCTTCCTGTCCACTGGGGCTCACTGCCAGCACCACTTCCTCCATGGAGCCCCCCTGGGTCTGCTGTCTCCCTGTCTGCGCCCCCCAGACCTTGGTGACGCCTGTGTCACACTGTGACTGGAACTCTCTGGGGCAGGAGAATGTGAGCTCCTGGAAGCGGGGGCAGGCTCATCATTTGTGGGTCCCAATTCGTAAGAAACATGTGGGGTCTCTTGGGCTTGAGGGGCTCTTACCTTTCTTCTGCTTTCTCCCTCAACCTGTCCTGGGGTTTTTTAATTTGCTATGCAGTGTCCCACTCCCTCAGGGTACTCCCAGGTGAGCGCACCTAACTGACTTTACTCAGCTCATGCCAGGGGTGGAAGGTGACAGTGGTCATTGCTCCCATGTGGGTGGGGGAGCCAGCAGCTGATACCCCTTCCCTAGGAGGTGGTGGCAGGTGGGGCTGCTGCTGAGCTAAGGCTCCAAACCCCCAGTGCATCTCCCTTCTCCCATAATTCTTTTTTTTATTTTGGCGGAGTCTCACTCTGTCACCCAGACTGGAGTGCAGTGGCACGATCTCGGCTCACTGCAACCTCCACCTCCCAGGTTCAAGCGATTCTCCTGTCTCAGCCTCCTAAGTATCTGGGATTACAGGTGCCTGCCACCATGCCCAGCTAATTTTTTTTTTTTTTTTTTTGCATTTTTAGTAGAGACGAGGTTTTGCTGTGTTGGCCAAATTGGTCTCAAACTCCTGACCTCAGATGATGTGCCTGCCTCTGACCTCAGATGATGTGCCTGCCTCGGCCTCCCAAAATGTTGGGATTATAGGCGTGAGTCATGGTGCCCAGCCCTGCCATCATTCTTTACTTACAAAACACAAATGCACAGATAAAATCAAGAATTGGCAAGGCAGAGTGGCTCACACCTGTAATCCCAGCACTTTGGGAGGCCAAGGCAGGAGGACTGCTTGAGCCCAGGAGTTCAGCCAGTCTGGACAACATAGCAAGACTCTGTCTCTATAAAAAGCAAAACAAAACAAAACAAAACAAAAAACAGGCATGATGGCATGCACCTGTGGTCCCAGCTATTCAGGAGGCTGAGGTGAGAGGATCACTTTGCCCGGGAGTTTGAGGCTGCAGTAAGCTGTGATTGCACCACTGCACTCCAGCTTGGGCAACAGAACTGGAGTAAAAATAAAAATAAAAATCATCAGGAATTTCAAGAGGTTCAGGGCAGAACATTAAACTCCAGACTTAATGAGTGTGGGCCCTGTGTGACTGCACTGGCCCCCAAGAAGTGGGCCCTGCCTAGAAGGCAGGTTCAAGGCCTCCCTCCTGAGATAAGGTGGGGTCTTGTCTAGAGTTTTGTGGCCCTTCCTGGGATTGAGAATAATACATGCTGGTATCAGGGCCTCCAAGGAGCCAAGGAAAGACGTCTTACCCCTGCTGCCCTTCCTCCAGGACGCCTCCCTGGGGTAACCCGTGTGTACCCATCCACAGGACATGATGCAGTGGAGGTTGGGGAAGGAGGGTGAGTGCAGCCTACCGAGATCCACCAAACTGCACCACGCTCTGCCCAAAGCCGCCTGCATCCTCCTGGAAGATGGTGGGCTCCTCCACATCCAGGTTGAATCCATGAAAAGAAGCCAGGACTGAAGAATATTTGGTGGGGGTGGGAGGGAGTGAGAGTTAAAGAAGCCCCAATCCCTCAGACCTCCCAGCCTCTTTTTTTTTGTTGTTTTTTTTTGGGGATGGAGTCTCGCTCTGTTGCCCAGGCTGGAGTGCAGTGGCACAATCTCAGCTCATTGCAACCTCCATCCTGGGTTCAAGCGATTCTCCTGCCTCAGCTTCCCAAGTAGCTGGGATTACAAGTGCATGCCGCCATGCCCCGCTAATTTTCGTATTTTTGGTAAAGATGGGGTTTCACCATGTTGGCCAGGCTGGTCACAAACTCCTGACCTCAGGGGATCTGCCCATCTCCCTCCCAAAGTGCCTCCCAAAGTGCTGGGATTATAGGCATGAGCCAGCGCGCCCGGCCAAGCCTGATTTTTGATGGCACGTGAATGTGGCTCTGATGCAGTTTTCAGCAGGGGGACTCTTCCCTACGTGCAGTCAGGACTTGGGGGAAACAGGCCCAGGGAGATGATGTCCAACCTTTCCCCCTCTCTGGTGGCTTCTGTGGCCTTCCATTCCCGGGGGAGGCTGGGGAGACCTCTCTCGCCCACACCAGGGACCCCATCAGCGGGAGCGGGGAAGCCTGGGACAACATAGCCAGCTGAAGAGGTAGCTTAGTCGCCATGTGAGCACAGCCCCTGAGCTCCTCTTCGTCCAGGTCACACTCTCCCGACTCTGGGCCACTCGCACACGAAGCACTCCCCTGCCTCAGCTACTCATGAGAGTGGTGGGAGCCTTCCACCAGCCCCCAGCCTGCCCTCCCAGATGGAGTCCCCTCAGAATCCCTCCAAGCTTCTCCCCAGCCCCCTGGCCCCACTCACCACTCAGAAGAAGCACGGTGCCGAAGGTCATCCCTGAGCAGCGCGTCGAGGGGAAGTGAAAGGCTGGGGACACAGCACAGAAGGTGCTCACCCTCCCAGGGGTTAGTTGAAATAATGATTCAGGGCCTCCACGTGGCAGGAGGAGGGGCACAGTGGGTAGGAGGGCCCTGGTTAGTTAAGGAACAGAAGTGGGGGCAGGGGCCAACGACACCCTGGGGAAAAACCCTCATCCTGTCCCCCTCCACCACCTGCAAGGGACTTCCTTCTCCCAGAAGACCACCCACCTCCAGGCCTCAGGAGCCAGTTGGTATCCAGGGAGCCCCATAGCTCTCTGACGTCCCACAGGAGTGGAAGGGCAGGAAGCAGAACGGCGGTGGAGGCCTCGGCGTGTGGATGTGAGCCTGGAGAGAGGCAGGGAGAAGGGGAGCTAGGCCAGGGTGTGGTTTCACAAAGCAGAACCCACCCAGAGGAGAATGGACACCCAAAATAACAAGGTCATGCCATGGGCTACTACTCAGCAAAAAACAAGATCAAACTACAGACCAGACGCCGCCGCTCATGCCTGTGGTCCCAGAGCTTTGGTGAGGCCAAGGCAGGTGGATTGCTTGAGTCCAACAGTTCGAGACCAGCCTGGGCAACACAGCCAGACCCTGTCTTTACAACAAATAAATAAATAACAAAAACAAACTACAGTTCTGTACAACAACACAGGTTAACTCAATTTTATCTTAAGTGAAAGAAACCAGACAACAGAATGCCTAATGTCCGGTTCCTTTCATATACGAGTTAGAGAATGGGCAAAATTCATCTACGAAGATGGAGACCAGAAGAGTGGTCGCCTACGGTGGGGCAGAGAGGAAACTTTTTTTTTTTTTTGACAAGTTTTGCTATGTCGCCCACGCTGGAATGCGGTGGCATGATCAGGGCTCACTGCAGCCTCAAATTCCCAGACTCAAGCAATTCTCCCACCTCAGCCTCCCAGTCATGGGATTACAGATGCACACCACCATGCCCAGCTAACTTTTTTTGTTTTTTGCAGAGATGAGATCTCACTATGTTGCCCGTGCTGATCTTGAGCTCCTGGACTCAAGCAGTCCTCCCCACTCCTCCTCCCAAAGTACTGGGATTACAGGTGTGAGCCATCACATCCAGCCAGGAGCCTTTAGCATGTGTTAAATTTAGCATTTGACATAGTATTTTAACATTTATACATGGGGTTGGGGAGAAGTTAAATGAGTGGTTGTTATTTATTTTCTGTGATTTTCTGTATGTTTGAAATATTCCATGATTAAACATAAATGTTCCTTTAAAATGTGAAAAAAAAAAGTTCTATATATAAAAGGCTAGGAATAGGCCAGGCACGGCGGCTCACACCTGTAATCCCAGCACTTTGGGAGGCCGAAGTGGATGGATCATCTGAAGTCAGGAGTTTGAGACCAGCTCTGGCCAATATGGTGAAATCCTGTCTCTACTAAAAATACAAAAATTAGCTGGGCGCGGTGGCACGCACCTGTAATCCCAGCTACTCGGGAGGCTGAGGCAGGAGAATCGCTTGAACCCAGGAGGCACAGGTTGCAGTGAGACGAGATTGCACCATTGCACTCCAGCCTGGGTGACAGAGCAAGACTCTGTCTCAAAAACAAAACAAAATGAGACAAACAAAATATTTAAAATGTAACTAAACATCAAGTGCAAATAATACAAAACAGTTTTCTGTAAAAAAATTGTACATCAATTTACTTGAGAGCTGACATTTAATGGACAGAATAAATTAATTGTGATGCATTAATGATGCCCTTGCGGGAAACCAGGCCGAGGGATGCGATTGCTAACTTCGAGACTGACTTATCTACTGCCTTACAAAGACTGCCAAGGCAAAGTGGAGCAGCAACTTTCTCCCTCTTGTGCTGAGGGGTTTGTAGCCAGCAGTACCCCGTCATCAGTTCTGTGGATCTGTGAACTTCTCCCTGTATTTGGAACCACAAAATAATTTGTTGATGATTCTTCATAATTCAAAAATTTAAAGATCTATTCATTTTCTCCATCTTCACTGCATCTCATCTTTTACACGTTTCTATATCCCCTTTAATTTTGGGCTTCCTTCTGTAAGCAGTGTTTGAAACTCACAATTTGCTGATATCAGCAACTGTAAAATTCTCCAACTTTGCCTAACTCATATTATCGCTTGTCTCAGCAAAATTTTTTGTTTTCCACTCATTTTTGGAGAGCAGTGAAAAGGGAAAACTGCAGTAAGATAGTCAAATGCTCACAATCACCGCACGCTGCCAGGAAATCATCTTTCTCCCAGGCCTGGAGTGGGAGCTGCCAAGGCTCGGAGTCCACAGCAGCTAAAGGTGATGCCCCCAAATTCAGTGCATCCTCCGGGGACTTGATGGCAGCTCCACCCTTAAAAGGACCACCAGCTCTCAGTAAATTTTTAATTAATTAATTAATTAATTAATTAATTAATTTTTATTTTGAGATGGAGTCCTGCTCTATCACCCAGGCTGGAGAGCAGTAGCGCAATCTCGTTTCACTGCAACCTCCGCCTCCCGGGTTCAAGCGATTCTCCTGTCTCAGCCTGTGGAGTAGCTGGGATTACAGGCACACACCACCATGCCCAGCTAATTTTTGTATTTTTAATAGAGACGGGGTTTTGCCATATTGGCCAGGCTGGTCTCGAACTCCTGACCATACGTGATCCACCTGCCTTGACCTCCCAAAGTACTGGATTACAGTAGTGAGACACCGTGCCCGTCTTCTCTCAGTACGTTTTTAAAAGTTACACTTAGATAAATAAGAAAACAACAAATTTATGTAATTGTTTTCAAATCAGTGTGAAGGAGAATATTTTTGCAGCCTTTCTCCAGAATGAACTGTGTCTGCTGGAGAACACAACTTCATGTCCCCATGCCTTAGAGGCCACAGCCAGGATTTTGGTTTTGTTTCTCCTGGTCTTGCCCTCCTCCTGGGAAATTTGGCTTTATTCTTCACATGCATTCATAATTCTCTCTCTCCAAATCACTTTTTCCCCCCTGCATGAGAAAAATACATCCATAGTAATGTATTCAAGTTGCCTGCTTCCAATTCTCCCCTTTTCCGTTTGGGGTATGGATTAGATACCCTGGAATATTTGCATTGAATTTTACCTATTCATCTACTTTCATCATCACAATGATCGCTGAGGGAAGCCAGGCTGTCAATAGACACATCTAAAATACAACGTTGATAAGAAGGGTAGAGTTTGCAAATGAAAGTAATTAAATGAATTAGTCTAAAGCAGAGAAAAAGAAAACCTAGCCAATAGTTCATCAGATAGAAAAGGTTTTTCTTGATGGAAAGATATCATGAAACTGACAGTTAAAGTAGAATTAATTTTTTTTGTTGTTGTTGTTACGAGACAGAGTCTCGCACTGTTGCCCAAGCTAGAGGGCAGTGACATGACCATAGCTCACTGCGGCCTCGAACTCCTGGCCTCAAGTGATCCTCCCACCTCTGGTTTTTTGTTGTTGTTTGTTTGTTTGTTTTCTACAGATGGAGTCTCACTATGTTGCTCAGGCTGATCTCGAATTCTTGGGTTCAAGCAATCCTCTGGCCTCCCAAAGTACTGGAATTACAGGTATGAACCACCACACCTGCAGCCACTGCATCTGGCCTCGAAATTATTATTATTATTATTTTTTGAGATGGCGTCTCACTCTGTCACCCAGGCTGGAGTGCAGTGGTGCAATCTTAGCTCACTGCAACCTCCAGGTTCAAGCAGTTCTCTTGCCTCAGCCTCCTGAGTAGCTGGGATTACAGGTGCATGCCACCCACGTCTGGCTATTTTTTTTTGTATTATTAGTTGATATAGGTTGGTCTGCAACTCCTGATGTCAGGTGATTCACCCTCCTCAGCCTCCCAAAGTGCTGGGATTACAGGCATGAGCCACCACGCCCGACCCAGAATTAATTTTCATATCATCAGGTATAAAACCCTTGTCCAGAGGGCACAAATACAGACGTTGACTTCAAATTCTTGGTCATGTCACACTATATACTATCCTGAAGATTTTCAGTAGATCCTTTTACTTATCTGTTCACACTTGTTTTGTGCATTTCTTCGTCATGCTGAATTCCTGACAGGTTTGTATAAACCATGTTGTGTGGAGACAGCTTTTTCCCTCTGAGCTGATCAAGTTTATAAAATGTACACATTCACTCAGGCTAGAAACGAAATCATGACTAACTTGGATTCTGTATGTATGCCTCTCTTGAGAATCAGTTTGGCCACTTTGCCCCACTCACCCATGGGTGGGCTAACAGGCACAGATGAACAGGGGCCAGCAGAAAACACCCACGACCAGCAGGCACTAGGCATCCAATCTAGTTAATGTATTTCTTTCTTTTCACTCAGTTGTCCTAAAACCACCAGCCCATGTTCCTTGCTGCAAAAATTGCCAGGTCATGAGTTAAGTCATAAAAAGTTGGATGCTCGCCG